TTTTTTCTGATTGAGTTATTCTTCAAAATATTTCCTGTGTGTTTTTTAAAGAATGTATGTTTTATTAGTGGGTACAATGTTCTAGGTGTGTCAGATAAGTTATTTATGGGTATTAAAAACTATATCCTTGCTGCTTGCTGCATTACTTTTTTTGACTATTAAGAGAGTAATACTGAAATCTGCAAATAATTTTTGATTTCCTATTTCTGCCTTTAATTTTTTCACATTGATTTTTCTCCTTTGTTTTCATCACATTGAGAAGTTTCTGTTGATCTATTATCAAGTTCATGATCCTGACTGTCAATTTGCTGTTAAGCTCATGTGGCATATTTTTCATTTTGGTTATTTTCATTTTCAACTCTAGAAATTATTTGTATTCCTCTTATTTTTATTGCTTTTCACAAAGTTCATATTAATTTTTATTGTTGCAATCAAGTATTTTTAATACTTGGAATACTATTTTTTTCTTTCTTTAACCATTTCTTTGAAATCATCTACTACATTCAACCTCATGTCCCACTCTTGGTACATTGACTGATTTTATTCTTCTGAGGATGGGTCACACTTCTCTGATGTTTTATACTCTTGTAACTTTTTTTTTTTAATGGTGGGGGGGTATCTAAGATTGAACTCAGAAGCACTAAACCACTGAGCTACATCCCCAGCCCTATTTTGTATTTTATTTAGAGACGAGGTCTCCCTGAGTTTCTTACTGCCTTATCCTTGCCGAGGCTGACTTTGAACTTGTGATCCTTGTGCGTCAGCCTCCCAAGCCAGTGTGACTACAGGCATGGGCCACTGCATCTGGCACACTTGTAACTTTCTATTGACAAGTAAACCTATAGATATAGAAACTCTAGATTCTGATTTGGTTTTCGAAATTTTTAAAGTTGGCCATACAGATTCTTTCATACTGAGACATATAGCTAGTGATGTCTCTACTCAGTATATATGATTTTGGTCTCATTTTTACTTTTTTCCTGGGTTTCTAGGAGTTGTTCCCTTGTCTGCATATCCTAATCGTTAAATAATGATTGGGCACAGCAATGAACTTCAGATTGTACAGCTTATACCTGGATGTATTAAAGATTGTATGAGTTAAGGAATGCATTTAACGTTCAGACAGTGTTCACATCTGCCTCAGGTTGTACTTTGTACTGGTACTCTTTGGGTCTTCCTGGTGCTTGCCTGTAGTTTTTACTCTCATCCAGTGTTGTGAAGAGCTTATTTAGCCCTCTATGAATCATTAAATGGTTCTCTTTTAAATATCTGGATTCTCTACCACCTACCTAAGTCAGAACCCCTACTTGTTACCTGCCAATTTTACTGCTTTTATTAATACTGGTGTGGAGTTTTGTTCTTTGTTCCAAGTCAGTTCATTTCACTTAGTAACAAACCTTTTGATTTAGAGTCAACCCCACCCTGACAAATCTGTGTTGCTAAGGAGAAATAAAACTGGATACTGGCTGAAGGTTGTATATAGATAGAATTTGTTTATATTTCACTGCAGGAGGAGATAGAGACTTGAGAAGTGGGCTCAATCACACTGAAACAAAATGCAGGAGATATTTTAAATACTGGGGTACACTAAAGAAAAGGGACTACATGATTTGGAAATCTTGGTTTGTTAATTGGTACTTCTCCAGGGAAGAAACAAACTTTTATATATTAATGACAAGAGGCAGTTGTGTCATTTGGATAAGGCACCCATCAGTGATAGGATTTTACCCTTCCACAGGGTCTGGATAATCAGTTAACAAGAGCCCTCTTCCTACATTTTGCATTTCCAAGGACAGCTCTCAGGTCCTTGAAGAGACGTTTCTGGATGGGATAAGATTTACATCTCAGAGGAACAAAGAAAAGGTTTATAATTGAAAGCTTTCTCAGGCAGGCATTTTAAGGAGGTAGGCTCATCATAGGAACCACACAAGAGACCATACTAGAGTTTGGTCAAGATTCAGTGGACAGTCATTTTGTGCAAAGAAGTTCTGCATTTCCTCAGTGTCACATAAGCTGTGTATGGAGGGGTTGGAGCAGATACACACAAAAAAATAGAATCTTTTCTTATCCAGTGTTCTAGGAGATTGTATATGTATGTGTGTATTAATGCAACTCAATTTGTTGTTTGCCTTTGTTCAATTTTCAGAGTCCTAAAATGGTTATTTTTGACAATTTGTTGACGTTTTACTCTTGATTTTTGGTGAAGAAGATTTGCCAGATTTTATACTCCATCACAGTCAAAAACCCTACCCACTTGCTTTCAATATTGAATGAAAAAGGTTCTGAGGGAGAAAATATTTTGACTAAGTATCAATGTGGTGTGCTAAAAAGAGTATGGACTAAGGCTCAGACTGTTCTTACCCTGAGAAACTGACTGATAAATCTGCAGCCTTGAGAAAATGACAGTCTGTTAACCAGCTGTGTTTTTGCCTTGTATAAAGAAAGATATTATAGGTAACAGAGATGTTTGTTGAAATATTAGAGAATTAAAATTTCAAATTCATAATCTGTGAAACATTTTACAAATTTGACTGTATTGACTTTAATCTATGTTTAAGTTAATTGAAATCTAGAAATTAATTCATGCAGAAGCATTTACCTTGTTTGCTGTGTTGTTATTTGCCTAATTTTAATTCTACCATTCACCATATTTTATAGCATTTCAGAATTTTATGACAACAAATGTATGTATTATTAGTTTTAGTTTTTTCTTCCATTCTGCATATTATGAATTATTTGCTATTTTTCTTTGTTTCGCAAACTAAATATCCTTGTTAGACTTTGGGCCCACTTTCCATCTGGGAAATAAATACAAATCTGCTTTAGGATTGTAGAATGTTTCATTTCATCCCCTGAAGAAAAATAGGACTTAACGGAAATTTTCACTCAAGTGTTATAGCAACTAAAGAGCAATGGCTGAATATAAATTACATTATAAATTTCCTTCAAATATTTTCTACCTGCCACACTTTGATTTTATAAAAATAGTCATTGTTCTTTGTGACTTAACTTCCTCCTCTGTACAGTGCATTAATGATTATGTTCAAGGTAGTAAGTTTTAGAAAAAAGAAAAWGTAGTGGAATCCACCAAGTTGTGAAACTCCATATCCTAGGGGAATACAAATGTGTATTTTGTTTTCTCTTAAAGCCTTATGGCACAGTATATGTGTAAAGTTAATGATTATAAAATAATAAATATGAAAACTAACAATCACATATGCAAATGTATTTTATCAGATACACATTYAAAGGAGGATAAAAATACTTTAACAGATGTTTGCTAATACTTGTAYACATATTTAATTTACAATGAATTAAAGGTAAAACTCACAATTATTGTATATGATTTTCTCAGATCTTCTGAAGCCTGGTGTCTTTGCCATCACACTTTTTAAAAATAGATAACATGCAAACCTGAAAGGGAATAGCAGATATAGTGTGAATTTAATGTGCATTTAAACATAGTATTTAACCCTAGAAATMTAAAATCAACATTTATTGTTATTACTGCACACTATTTCTCCACTTATTTCTGAGGTATCATATTCTTAACTTCTCAATAGTTTGGCCTCAGAGATACCTAAGATGTTCTCAAATAATGGCCATCCCTACTATTGTGGTCTCAATGAGTCCTACAGAACGTACACTGTAGAAACTTAGTCTCAAAGCAAAAATTGTTCAAAGTTGGGATTTTTAAGAGGTAATTAGATTATGAAGGCAGGGCTCATACGGACCATTGTCATCAAGAGCCTGGTTTTGTTATAGAACAGAGTTTGACCCTCTCTCATACATTCCTTTTCATATGTTATCTTGCTGTGTGATGTCTTCCTGGAAAGAATGGCTTCATCACCTATAGCCCCTGGATCTTGAGCTTCTGAGCCTCCAGGACTATGAGTCAGATAAACTATTTATAAATGACRCAGTCAGTGGTATTCATTATAGTAGCAGATAATGGAGTAGACACTGCCTGATTCCCAGCAGTTTTTTGTTTTGTTTTTCCTTTTGTTTAACAAAAACAACAACAAAAAGATAAAGATCTGTTTCTTTCTCGTCACTGATTATTCTGAACAAATCCAGTGCAAAGGAAGTGAGTGGCCTAGKCAGAATGTGTGGTAGGACCAAAGAAAAGGAGCAAACAGATCCATGATTGTGCAGAGAACATTATATTGGGGACTTACTGAGAACCATGGTCAAGGGCCACAGCAAGACAAGGGGATCCCTGTGACTCAGGTCAGAATGAGGAGCCTTCCTAATAGGACAGTAGAAAAGTCCACCTCTGCTGAAATTGACGTGGCTCATGCCATACTCATACCTCGGGTGTCAGGTGCATTCCCCATCCATATGACACCAGGGTCGGGATGGGAAAGCTCCACATGCCAGTCTGTTGGTTTCATTTGTTTAGAATTTACTGGGAAAGTATKTAGGGGAACTGATCAGGGTTACTCAAGGGCAGTCATGGTGATTATGACTCAAAACAGCTACAGTCAGGTCAAGGTGAATCCTTACAGTATTTCATTAAAATTCTTCACAGATTTGACAGTTATTTCTTAGGCTTTTAGGAACAACTTATTAGATTGGCCACCATTCAGATTTTCTTCACAAATTTTTAAGTTGTGTTGGCTTCCATAGATTGCCATATGGTTCTAGACCCTCTCCWAACATAAATTCAGTTGTGATAAAAACATATACAGCTTAATTTTCACTGAAGCCCTTAATTAGTGTAAGGAAAACAAAACCAAAACAAAACCTCCTTTCTTGGGCCCTTGTGGTCACATTTGGCCTCTAACAAGGGTGTATCCCTTCGCATTTGTACACCTGGTTATGCTAAAATGTTGCCATTCTTATCTTGATGAAGGAAAAGTTAATAAGTCACTGCAATAAGTCACATATACATTTATCCTCCAAAAATATTACTTATAATAATAATTTCAAAACTAGTACCACTTTACAGTGTACTGTCTATAGTCCTAGTGGTGTTATAGGTAAATAAATTGCTTCAATCATTTTAGAAATAGACCTTAGATTATTTTGATCTGGATTATAAAACTGTAAAGATATTTCTAATACTGGAAAGACAAGAAGTGATATAAACTGAGGGAAGAAAAAGCACATTGTCTTGGTGACACTTCTAAATTTAATTCTGGTCTACTTTGTTATTTACCTATTTAGGAAGTCATTTAATAGGTGTTTGTTCCCCTCAGTTAATTGAAATTGAAATTCATAAATAGTGGCTAATAATAAGGTTTCTTCACTTTAATAGATTCATTTCTTAGGAACAGTGACATAGAAAGTTTCATGCAAATAAAGAAGAAAGACAAAATCCACCAATATATGTACCATTCTGACAATTGTTTAGGTAATTTGATTTTGTTCTTTTAGCATATTGAGCAATTATTTTCTGGAATAGGAAACTGTACTACAAAGCTTCTGGGCCCATGAGACAGGTATTTCGAATTAGAAAACCAGTATTTCAGCAATACCTGCCACTTTTATAGCTTATTTCTTCTTTATTGCACTATCATCTTGGGAATTAAATGAGAAGACATAATAATGCAATGAAATGGCACGAATGCCATTCATATTTTGTGAATCCTGTTACATAGCATTCAGTAAAGCCTAACTTCAGAACMCATTACTTCTAGAGGTCACATCCAGGCAACCTTAACACTCTACAACACTGTCAAGATCAGCAGAGGGAGGGTGTGGGTCAAAATATCCTTTGTAGTTGACGCAAAGCAAAAGCTCTCTGGTGTAAAATCATTTGCTCCTATTTTAGGCTGAGCATAATAAAAATCTTAAAAATTTCTAGCTAGGGGGAAAACAATGAGTAAATTATTTAAGAAGGGAAGAATTAGAAATATTTAGCCCAATATCAATGTCTATAATTACATGGTGCTTATGTTTTTTCCGATGCTTTCACAGACTTTAATTCTGTAGCCAYGTTGGATGGAAACTTTACCAATGAGACAACTCACTTTTAACTTCTCATTTCAGCAAATTGCACAAGCTTCAGTGTTTTTTTAAAATAACGTATATTTATTTAACCATGCCAACAAAGACACCAAGAAGTCATGCTTTGTAGCTCAATATTAAAGGAAAGAATAAAAAACAAAGCAAATAAATTTCAAATAGCTATCACACATATAACACTGCYCCACACTTCTTGACCTAGAGATTGAGTAGGGATAAACAGTACCCCCACATCACATTGAGTTGCAGAGAAGTAAAATAAGAGTTAATGTACCTAATGATGATTGAGCTTTTAGGAGAAGACTAGATTATTCTGATTGCCTAATTTAAGAGCAGAGTAAAGACATTATTTTTGAAAGATTCCCATAAATTTGGATACTTCAAATGAAATCTGCCTCCCTCTTTGCCACATTCACCAGTGTGGTCCTGTTTGTCCATCAGAGGACAATGTTTTAGCTTTATCCTAGTTTTCTCTCAGATTCAGCTGAYTCTTTCTCCTTGAAACACTCTTAGCTTTTTAGTAAAATTTCTCTGTCATCCACTTCTACTGACAATCTCAGTCCTCCAACCCTGCTTTATTTTTTCCCCAACAGACCCTACATTGTGACACAGGACCTGTTTCCTGCCAAATATTCTATATCTATACTCTCTCCTTAAGCAATTTCACCTATTAGCAAGATTTAGGTGATAATGATTAACAAATTTGTGTCTCCAAGGCATATTTCTTTTTGTACTTAGAACTAAATTCAAGTTCCCCCTKCAAGGTTCTTATGCCCTAGACCATGCCAAGTTTCCCAACATATTTTGAGAGTATTCTTTCTCTCACTGCAGCTGTTTTGGCCTTCTTTCTGTTCCTAGAGCAGAATAAAAGGTATTTTCTTATGTTACAACCTTTGTGCTTACTCTCACAAACACATTTCCTGGGAATGATTATTTATTTATTCATTCGTCTATTTATTTATTTAGTTGTACTAGGGATTGAACCCAAGGGCAGTTAACCACTGGATGACATTATCAGACCTTTTTATTTTTTATTTAGAGATAGGGTCTTGCTAAGTTGCTGAGGCTGGCTTTGAACTTGTGATCCTCCTACCTCAGCCTCTGGAACCAATGGGTTCTGGAGTCTTTACAGGGACAATATAGGCTAGCCTTCATCACTATAAAGATGACTTCTCTGATAAGTCCTTGGCTCCTCCATGTTTCCCATCCTGGCACCCTGTTTATTTTCACGCAGCTTATATACAAGTATTTACATGCAGAGTCAAACACACATAGCATGTAGAATTATGGTAAGGTATTGTTTTGTCAGACACAAATATTAAGTTTCATATAGATAAATATTAGCTGTCCTGGTATAATTTTGCTGCAGTCTAGCTGGGCTAAATAACTGGGAGGTGACAAGCAACTTGAAGGATGAAGCGGGAACTGAGCAGGAACTCAAGGTAGTGGGCACCCAAGGTAGCAGGAGCCGCCTTATTGCAAAACAGCAGAGGTMTATATACCTAACTGGTTACACACAGCTTGACTCAATTAGCATCATCCAGTTACAGCAATCAGCCAATAAGGAATCTCCACCAACTTAATGGCTTGGAGGCATTGCTTCACAAACCACTCCTCCTGGCAAACTGCCAGGCGCCATCTTGACTTGATTTGCAGTTCCCAACATAATTTGTATTTTGAATTTTCTTCAAAGATTTGTGAGTGAAAAACTTGTTCCCTAGGTAATGTTACCAGATGGTATTGTGGACCTCTGAGATGAGGGGCCTTGTGAAAGCTTTTTGGGTGACTGAGGATGTGCCTTGAAGGATTCCCTTGGACTCTGTTCTCTTCCTACTCTGCTTCCTGGCTACCAGGAGAGAAATTTTCTCTACCATGTGCTCCCTACCCTCCAGAGGCCCAGAGCAATGGGTATGCCCAATTTTGGATTGGAACTTCCAAAACTGTCAGTTGAAATACCCTTACCCTTTATAAACTTATTATTGTAGACATTTCATTATAGTGATTTAAAGTTGACTAATACGTAATATCTCATGTTATGTTTATTTCTAGTACCTATTTTATAGTAGCTATTAAATATATATTTGATGAATAAGTGATTTCATGATAGACTGACAGAAAAGCAGTGTGGTCCTTAATGGAAAGGCAGAACATGAAGTAACTATGTATTTCTTAGAGATGGAAGTTTCATGTTTTGCAACATGATGGATTTTATGGTAATTGAGGTAAATACATTAAACTTTTTTAAAGGAAATTTTAAAATACACACGAGAAACTCAATAATGAAATTGTGACTAGAAATGTATATTTGGSAATCATTTACATAAAAATGACAGTTGAAGTACTAAAAGTAGCTGAAATTGGCAAGGGACAGAAAACAGAACGAATATCATACTTGGAAAAACTCACAGGGAGAATGAGAGTTTGAGGAAGAGCCAACACATAGA